CCGTGGGCCGGGGGGCCGCCTTCGCCGCCGCGTAGGGTCGTGTGTGGGTGTCGGCCCGCTGTTGTTTACGTTACAGCTACCTCAGGGTTAACAATACTGCATATATTGATTAGTATACTCGTTACTGTATACAATGCGTTTCTTACGATTACAAGTACTAAATGCCACAATTACACGGCTTAAATAACATTGCCTTACTATTATTCAAGTTGGCCAAACGGTTCAACATTCCTGTACGCAGTTCTGGCGCCCTGAAATACAACTGATCTTCAAATGTTCAACTTCATTGTTCTATGTCTCACTTCATTTTCATCTTTTATCAATGTTGACTTGACTGCCTATCCGTATCGTACGAAACTGATATTAGTCTAGAGAGCGACTCTGATTCGGTGTCACATTGATACTTGTACAGGCTCCATTGCTACACGCCTTCCAACAGGTAAACAAGCGAGAGTGCCTGTCTGACGTCACACTACGTCACGCGCCAAAGTAGTGGCGCTTTTGCGTTCCCGCAATTTCTACATTGGGTTCATCAAAAAATGGCGTCTTTTTCTCATTACATCCGCTAAACCATTCTATCTGTTATCTGTAAATTTCTTAGTAGTTGTACAAAACATAGTTAATTTGATATATGTAACTATTTTTCATCACTAAAGGAGGCCTTTAAGGGTTTGTTTGACAACACCATTGCGCTATGTCACGGGCGGCAGATACGACTCGACCACGTGTACATTCGAAGCCATTTTATGCATTGGCTCTACTTGCGCTTTGTGTCCGCCAGCGTCAAGTTACGGTGAATGAGCTCTCCAGTTTTTCCCCGAATTTTACCATTTTGTGCTGTGTGAAGCGGACATTTGTAAGCCTAGCATTGCGGCAGTGAACCGCTTAGTTCCGGTCAAAGAAGTGTTTATTTAGATAATGATAACATATTGATAAGTGCGTAAAAGGATATGTTTAATTTTGGTAATTTATGTAAACACGTGTGTGAGAATGTATACTTATGAGTGCTATGCCAGCTACATTGCCATAGGATTTGTTGCCGCTTGGTTCAGAGTATAAAGTGATTTAAATTTATGCTTGGTGTACACTGTACAACTACAAGCAGTATGTGTACAAGGATAGAATATGCGTTTAGTTAGAATTTACGATAGGAATAGTGATTCCATATCAGTCAATATTTAAAGTTTAGGATATGTTTATTGAGATAGACTTGCAAAGTATATTAGGCAAGTATGCTATGTTACACAAGCGCAGAAAGAAGGACACAAAGGAAATTTTAATTGTGCAATAATTATTAATTTATGGTATTTTGTATGTATATAATTTTGATTACAGATTGAATTATCAGTCTTCACTGTCTTCAATACATCACAAATGGAAGAAAATAAAGACATTTGAAGCAATCCAATTTTGAGCTTAAACTTTGTTAATTTTCGTGTTCAGCGCGCCAACATATATATAAGGGTTATGCTGACCTTTATACATATACTTTTATGAAATTTATTTCAGTTATATCGATCGAAGTAACTGTAGTGGCTACTCATAGCAAGAATAAAATGCTCGTATGTTTACAATGCAGGGCATGAAGTATGCTTACACAAAGATCAGCAACATAATGGGTGACACAATCATCAATATATGGGGCGTAGCTTCCTGCTGACGATCATGTGCTTTGCTGTTAGAGGAGGCAGAGTAGAACAATCTGCAGTATTTATGGACACTAATCCCACACGTGTGATCAAGAATATTAACCATAATATTTAGTGTTCCTTTAAACCATGTTTTTTCATGGTATTTTCATAATTAGGCGAGTCCTAATAAAGAAGGGGATGTAGTCCTTAAGGTAAACATGGTGAAGAGGAAAACAAATGGCCTGACCATTTGCAAAAACTACACCGGACCTTACAAGGTCCTCCAACTCTGAGAGAAAGTCCAAGATAATGGCGAAGAATGGAACGGTGTTAAAGTACCTGCAGTCAACTGCACATTTAAAAAAACACCACAGCAAAAACGGCGAGAAGGAAGCATTATGAGAGTATAATGCCATTATTAATTAACTGAAACATTTTATTAAACAAAACAAGAGCCGCAGAGCGTCTGGGCTCATCTGAGGTCTGTTGCTACGATTATAAACGTAAACGCACCGCACCCACCAAGACAGCACCAGCAGGCACCCTCTCAACTCTGCCGACCATAGCAAGGTGAGCACACATAAGAACACAGTGTCCCAGACAAGAACACTAATCCGCAACAATTTCCCATATAGAACCGCTATCACCCACTATCGCGCCCGAACCACATAATTAAGGACTACGCACCCTAATCGACAAATC